CTGCTCCACCACCTTGCAGACCTGGCTGAACGCAGACTTTGCCATCGTCTCCATAATGGAGGAGAGCTGAGAACGGATGGGGAGGCGGCTCGCCATTACGGACGAAAGCAACAGGGCTTCACGGGAATATCAAGAAATTATAATTCTTATTTAATTTAGAAAATAACGCGTAGTGCTAAAATAAAACAGTTACTTTAGCCACACCTAGCCGGCGGAGCTAATTTGAATCAACGGCGCTCAAAGCGGGACAGAAATAAAAGTTACACAGGTGACGTATTTCCGGCGGATGTAACTGGTCAGCTGCGTTGTGTTAGCGCTTCCTTGTTCCGAATGAAACCTAAAGCAGTAGTTTTTATTTGTGTTTTAGACTGATATTAATGCGAACCGACCTTGCGACTGTCAGCGCCACCTTTAGCGGACGGGATTCTGATCAGTTTGAGCCGCAGTCATGAGCACGGAGAAAGACTTTTCACCCCTCACGCCCAACATTGTGAGGGCTCTGAATGATAAACTGTATGAGAAGAGGAAAGTCGCGGCTCTGGAAATAGAGAAGCTGGTGCGGGAGTTTGTGGCCCAGAACAACTCCACTCAGATCAGACATGTGATTCAGATCCTGGCATCGGAGTTTGCCCTCTCTCAACACCCCCACAGCCGCAAAGGGGGTCTGATCGGACTGGCAGCTTGCTCCATCGCTCTGGGAAAGGACTCTGGTCTGTATCTAAAGGAGCTCATTGAGCCTGTACTCACGTGTTTCAATGACTCAGACAGCCGTCTGCGCTACTATGCATGTGAGGCCCTGTATAACATAGTGAAAGTGGCCAGAGGAGCAGTTCTGCCTCACTTCAACCTGCTTTTTGATGGTCTCAGCAAGCTTGCAGCTGATCCAGACCCTAATGTGAAAAGTGGATCTGAACTCCTGGACCGATTGCTGAAAGACATCGTTACCGAGAGCAACACCTTTGACCTGGTGGCTTTTGTCCCCCTGTTGAGGGAAAGAATCTACTCCAATAATCAGTACGCCAGGCAGTTTATCATTTCTTGGATCCATGTCCTGGAGTCTGTGCCAGACATCCACCTGTTAGATTATCTCCCTGAGATCCTGGATGGGCTCTTTCAGATCCTGGGTGATAACAGCAAGGAGATCCGCAGGACATGCGAGGTGGTGCTCGGCGAGTTTCTGAAGGAGATCAAGAAGACCCCCTCAAGCGTGAAATTTGCAGAGATGGCCAACATTCTTGTCATTCACTGCCAAGTTGCAGATGAAACCAAACTGACGAATGATCTGATCCAGCTGACGGCTATGACGTGGATGAGGGAGTTCATCCAGCTCGCAGGCAGAGTGGTGCTCCCTTATTCCTCTGGCATTCTCACTGCAGTGCTGCCCTGTCTGTCCTATGATGACAGGAAGAAAAATACCAAAGAAGCAGCTAGCGCCTGTAATAACAGCCTGATGAAACTGGTAACCCCTGAAGATGATGAAGATGTTGAGGAAGAAAAAAGCGGGAGTACAGGCTCACCCTCTGCCGGAGAAGGCCAGCCCAAAGTGGAAGGAGACAGCAATGACATGCTGAATGCATCCCAGGAATCTGTCGGTCTGAGCAACATTAGTTTCTTTACTCCAGCAGGCTCTGACAGGCCGCAAGTAACTCTGGATCTGGATGGGATTGTCCAGGTGTTGGACCGCCACCTCCATGACTCCTCCACTGGCATGATGACCCGCATAGCCGTACTCAAATGGCTTTATCACCTTTACATTAAGACTCCACGCAAAATGTTTCGCCACACAGACAGCCTTTTCCCCATTCTCCTGAAAACACTATCTGATGAGTCGGATGAAGTCATCCTGAAAGATCTGGAGGTGTTGGCTGAGATCGCATCATCACCAGCTGGCCAGACAGACCAAGCCTTCTCCTGTGACATCACTGACAACAAGCTGGTGCTTAAGGTACCAGAGGGTCCCAAACCAGGACAACAGCCCAATGCAGGCTCCAAGGCTTTGGACTCCTCCCCATCCACCCCCAGTATGAACTCCTACTTTTATAAGTTTATGATCAATTTGCTTAAGCGTTTCAGTCTGGAGAGAAAGCTTCTGGAAAACAGAGGAGCTTTCATCATCCGGCAGCTGTGTCTGTTGCTTCATGCAGAGAACATCTTCCACTCTATGGCTGACATCTTGTTGAAGGAAGAGGACCTTAAGTTTGCCTCCACAATGGTTCAGACGCTCAATACCATTCTGCTAACCTCTGCTGAGCTTTTCCAGTTACGCAACCAGCTAAAGGACCTGCACACTCAGGAAAGCTGTGCTTTGTTCTGCTGTTTGTATCGTTCCTGGTGCCACAACCCCGTGGCCACAGTGTCACTTTGTTTCCTCACACAGAACTACAAGCATGCATACGATCTCATCCAGAAGTTTGGAAATCTTGAGGTGACGGTGGACTTCCTGATGGAGGTTGACAAACTGGTGCAGCTCATAGAAAGCCCAATTTTTACCTACCTGCGCCTGCAGCTCCTAGATGTGGAGAACAACCCGTATCTGATTAAGGCGTTGTATGGTCTGCTGATGCTGCTGCCTCAGAGCCAGGCGTTCCAGCTGCTCTCCCATCGGTTAAGGTGTGTTCCTAACCCAGAGCTTATGAGAACTGTGGATGAATCCAAGTATATGGACTCTAAAAAGCAAGCAGCGTGCAACAAGTACTCCACTCATACTCAGATGGATTACAGCGAGCTGCTGCAGCATTTCGACCGTGTGCAAAGCAAACACCTGGAGGTCCGACACCAGCGCTCTAGCCGCGCATCTGATCACCATGACAGGAGACTGATGTGAGATTTGTAGTAATGGATAATTGAAAACAGTAAAGTGTGTCGTACATAAATAGCATACCAGTTATTGTTATTGAAGGCAAGAAGTATTACGTATATAAAATTATTTCTTTGAAAAACACTGAATATACCCTGTATGTGTGTATTTTGGCATTCCTGATATATGGTATGTAACAAACTAGAAAAGTATAGATCTCACCTTGTAAAGAGTAACTTAACCTGCTTCCATATAAATTTGATAGGAAGGATGTATATATATAAAAAAAATCTATAACTTGATATCTGTTTTCTTAATTGTTTCCTAATGTGCAGAACTACTACTAAGCATGTCTTTAAGGTTGCCTTAATCATGGCTGCCAGAGAAGGAATCTCACATGTTCCAGCGTCGATTCCGATCAGCTGACATCCAAGCCTGATAATGAGTCATTTTACATTGCAGAACTTCAACTTTATTTCTCGCACGTGTATTTTCCAACCTTTTTTGTATGCAAAGATCTTCAATTATTTGTGATGTCTCACTGCAGTCATTCTATGTGAAAATAAAGAGGACCATGTAACTGTTTTTTGTGGTTATTAATTTTTGCACTGCTGAGAGGATCAGAGTGTTTATGAGAAGCAAAACAAGGCATTGGTTCCTTCCCTGTTGGCAAATCGTTTTTTACATTTTAACATATTTCATCTACCATATGTCAGAAACAGTAATTATTTTTTGATTAAAGTGTTAGTGTATTTAAGTATACATTTAACGCTACAACTGCAGCATGAAGAAAAGAACCTGCCTTTTTTGTATTTTTTAGAACAAATTATTGCAAATCAGTAAAAAACAAGCTTTTTCTGCAGTTTTTTCCCCTGAAAATGGTGTTTAAAGAAAAATACATTACAAAATAAAGGTAGTACTTTTTTTGCAAGTAAATGTTACATTTATCACTCAAGAACACATGTGCAACAGGTTCCCTGATAGATAAAAGCTTTGGTTCAACTAGAAAATTAATGTTTAAAAGATTATCCCTATTCATCCAACAGTGTTTGCCTATAGCAACATTCATTTTAAACTGAAAATAAAGTGGGATGAAAACAAATACAATTTTCCAGTATTTGACCTGATCATTTGTGAAGCAAAAAATGTTGTTTTTGGTCACTATCTTATTGATTAATGCGTGGTGAGATAATTCCTAAAATGTATGATGTAGTCAGAGAAAAATAGATATCAACTCATGTAAAACATAAAAACTGGACATTTAATTTTTTTTGTTTTAACCAGAAACTTGCTTAGATGTCATTATAGATTTTTGTTTGCTTCATTTACATTTTGCCCAACTTCTTCATTGCTTATGTGGAACTGCTGCCCAAAAATGTCCTAAAGTGCCTAGTGATTTATAGTGAAACTAGAGTGCTTGAGGCCCCCACCCACCCTGCAGCAATAATAATTTGATCTCTAAAGTACATGGTAAAAAGCAAATATATCTCTCAGCACTATTAGAGACCTGAGTGCTGCACCAACTCTCACGGATGGAGGCTGACATCGCCTGTAATGTTGTGGATGAATCTTGCTGCGCCGTGTGTGGAAAAACCCACTTCACTCCAGTGGTTCTGAGTTGCACTGGTTGTGGTTGTAGTTTTTGTAATTTTTGTTTGGAACAGTTCTGGACACAGCTTGGTGCTAAAGAGTGTCCTCTCTGCTTTAAAAAATATCCTCATAAATGGTGTATTATACACAAGGAGAGAATGATTCTGCTCTGTGCAGCTGATTTGGACCTAATCTGCTCTACTTGCAGCAGATCAGGCCATCATGTGAACCACAGAGTTTATCCCATAAAAGAGGCCTTCAGGAACCACAGGGTAAGTGGAACACAAACAGCAGTCAAACAGTTTAACACTTAGAGTCATCATTTATTCAAAAATATATGAATCAGTGAAGAGGTCTGTTAAAGTTTTTTTTATTATTATTCAACTCACCAACTTTGGACATTTCAGGTTAAATGATATAGATTGTGGGACAAGTGGAAAAACACATAAGGGTTTTCTCCACAGTGTTTTCTACAGCAGGACCGTGTTCCCTCAGCTTTCGCTCCGTCTACACAACCTATTTTTGTGCGGCATTTCAGCAAGCTAACTTGGTCAACCAAATACTATGCTACAAGACAAACAAGGTCAAGTTGCTGTTAAATACTTTTGAGATTAACAAATTAACCTTTAGGATAATTATACTGCTGCATGTCCCTTGGCTTTTAATTAAGTTTTTCTCAATTTAAGTGGTGATAGTTACGATCGACACCCCATTGAAAGGCACAAAAAGGATCCTAGATACAGCTTCTATGTTCTATTAATATCCTCTGCTCTTACTCTTGATTTATTTTTTACTTCTTTCATTACACTCACCGCCTCATTTACCGACCCTCTCAAATAACCGAAGGATCATCATAACATAATTCAAGAACCAAATATTCCCACACCATTTTACTTTTTCCATTATTTCCTTAATATCATTCAATCTTTTTAAAATGTAAAGAGTTTATTTTTATTTTGGAGGGGTGTTTATTTGAGAAAAGGCAATGATCCCTGGCAGTGCTCAGTGTAGCATTACATTGGACATGTCTTTGAGATCTGCAGTATTAACAGTTATTTCTGAGGTTAAGTTGAGATAGCCTGATGTGGGAGGGGCATTAGAGGCTGCCTTACCATCAAAGCAGTTGGTGAAAGAATGGCCACCAGACATGCTCGATCCGAGGATGACCTTTCCTGTCCAATTTGCGGATATATTCTGAATCATCCAGTGGTCCTCACCTGCAGACACAGATTCTGTAAGGCCTGTCTACAAGACAGCTGGGACACACAAGACCAAAAGGACTCCCACTACTGTCCTCTGTGCTGGCGTTGCTCTTCAATGGATCAAATTGTGGTAAACACTGTGCTAGAGAAGGCCTGTGAATCCTTCAAAGGCGACAGAAGCAGGAACGACCCAGATACTTGTAGAGAGCATGGAGAAAACCTGACACTCTTCTGTTTGGAGGATTTGGAACCAATCTGTGGTCTTTGTGGCAAAGCAGCTGCGCACAAGGGGCACAGACTCTATCCCATTGCAGAGGGTGCCCATGATTGTAAGGCAAGTATACTGTCACAAGACTGGTCAAATCATTGCTTTACAGGAACAGACGAAAGCACATCCTTGACATGTGTCTAAATTTAAACCATTTATTTAAAATTTCTCTCTTTTGATGCCAGATTTTAAAGCTGGAATAAATTCTGACTTAACCTTAGCAACTTCAAACAAAGACAGACCAAAATATAGGACATGCAGTATTTAAATACCATGGAGCAATTTCTTTACCTTATACTATAACCGTATATCAATATTCACTTTCACACAGATGTAATTTTATTTCACATATAACATCACTGAAAATCTGCTGCATTTTGTTGACTGATATTCTAATACAAGGACCTTAAGTTTCTAATATTAGAATTATATATTTGGTTTCCTGTTGCTATTCAGGTCCAGAAAGATCTGAAACTCGACTCCCACAAGGTTTTACTGACACTACATTCATTCAAATCCTGCCCCTACCTCTCCTCGCTTGCCGAAGGCTGCTAGAAAACCAACATATTTATTTTTTTATACTGAAAAATATTTTATGCATACCTGTTTTGCTTATTTTAGAAACAACAGAGCCTCCTCTTTGATGCTACTGTATTGTTAAGCTTTCCATTAAGATGGAATGCTGTTATGGAGAGGTATGAGGCAGCTGAAAGCCCTGCAGTGTGCTGACAGATTGGCCACCTGCCAGACTGACCTTGTAGAAGAGTTGATGTCCTGTCACTAACATTTCAGGAGGAGCTGAAGAGCGCACTTCTGCCCTTGAAAGAGAAGCTACAGCTGTACAAGAATGCGACAGTAGCATGCGAGGAGATGACTGAACATATAAAGGTATGGCCTGTTTTCAGTGTAAGGTGTTAGAGCTAATGTTTCAACACAATGATTGCCCATTTTACCCATCCATTTTTGCAGAACCAAGCTAAACACACTGAAGCACAGATCAAAAAGGAATTTGAAGCTCTTCACAACTTCCTTAAGGAGCAGGAGGCTACTAGACTTGCAGATTTAAAGGCTGAGGAGGAACAGAAGAATCTAATGATCAGTCAGAAGATTGAGGAGATAAACAATGAAGTGGCAACTCTTTCTAACATTATCAGAACAGCAGAACAGGAAATGAAGAGTCAAGACATCCCATTCCTTAAGGTTAGATGCTCATAATGACATAATTTCAGGTAGAATTAGAGGTTTGCATGTCAGCTGCTGAAACTTATATCCAATTTTACTTTCAGAATTACAGGGAGACAATCAGAAGGTGAGCTGCACTAATATGCTTAGTGAAAGATTATTTTTACATAAATAATTCCCCCCAAAATAACATCCAGTCTCCTTTCAGAACCTGGAAAACTTCTCCTGATCCACTGATGTTATCTGGAACACTAATAGATGTGGCAAACCACTTGGGCTCTTTGAAATATAAAGTGTGGGAGAAGATGAAAAAAATTGTTAAATATAGTAAGTTTCATTCACAGCAATTTCAACAGGCTTTGCCAATCACATTAATAACTCTACTTTCTCTTCAAAGCTCCAGTGATACTGGATCCAAATACAGCAGCAAGCTGTTTCATCTTGTCTGAAGATCTCACAGTTCTGCAAAACTCTACCCAGATCTTCAAGCTCCCAGACAATCCAGAGCGCTTTGACGTTAGTGCAGAGATGCTTGGTGCTGAGGGCTACTCCTCTGGACGTCACAGCTGGGATGTGGAGGTGAATGACAACACCTACTGGGTTTTAGGAATAGCCAGCGAGTCCATTAACAGGAAGGGAAAACACGTGCTGACACCGGCAGAGGGATTCTGGACTATAAGATATCGTAATGGAGAACATAAAGCCTGCACAGCGCCCTGGGAGCCACTTAACATGTCTAAGAAGCCAGACGTGATAAGAATGGTTTTGGATATGGACAGAGGAAAGGTGGCATTTTATGACCCCAGAGAGCGAACGCCTCTCTACACCTTCACAAATATCATCACACCCCGAGCTTTTCCTTATTTTTGTACTGCTTGTAAAGAGCATCCACTGAAAATCCTACCAGAAAAGATAACCTTATCAACTGAGTAATAACTGAGCTAAAATAAAGCACTCCAGCTAAGTTTTCATATTACATTCTTTACAGTACTACCTTACATCTGTTAAGATTTTATTTATTGTCTTTGTTCAATAATGGTGAAAAGTTCAGCTTATAATAGCTTGAAATGAATGAAAAATCACTTTTTTTTTTTTTAAAGAAGTTGTTTATTAGAGTTACAACACAACTCAGAGATTTGGGCTTGCACATCAAACTAACACCTATATATCACACTGATGAGATTTGTTACATAAAAACAGTCAAAATGTGCAACTTAGCTTCTCTGCTTATAACCACAATTTATCTGAAATCCTTTTCATTAAAAGCATAAAATGTGAAATAGCTATAAAGATTTTTAAAGGCACAAACTAGAATAATCTGCATTGTTTGGAGGTTCAAGTCGAACAAGCAGGTTTAGATATTCATTGCATTAAAAACACCAATAGCTTTTACGGTTAGCATGGTTTTATGTTAAGGTTAATATGGGTTCGACCTAAAAGACATTCATTATGCATGTTGAAATCGGGTATTTCAACCTCGTTAAAACATGTAAGAGTAACAATAGTTCAACCTACACAGTAAAACCTAGCAGCATTTAGTATTTCCTGAATGGGAAATGCTCTAGAACAAAGTTTTGCTTAATACTACAGGTTATATTCTAACACCGTTAATGTAACATGTATCTTCAAACTAGCTGTGGGAGGAATCCACTCTATGTTAATGCTCAAAGGCATTTTGAAATGTTTGTGACTTAAAAAAAAGGCTGTTAAAAGATTAAAACAAGCCCTCACATTATGTCCTAGTGTGTTACTTGTTCAGTGTTCAAACTCGTGTAACAGTAGTCAATGTAAATAATCTAAACTCTGTTTCCTGAATGCTCAACACTCAAAACTGTGTTGCAGCAGAACTGAATGATCCAGACATTGCTGTGTGCATACCTGTGTGTTTCCCTCTAGCACCTGATTAGCCACCCTGACCGAGGCACTTTGAATGCAACGCTATGGCCACATGTCATAGAGACATTCTGCCCTCCACTATGGAGTTGTAAAGCTCCTCATCCACTGGCTCATAACGGGCAGCTCGACCGTTCAAAAAGAAGATCTGGTCTGTTGTGAGACGTGGGTCAAATCCCTCCCTCTGCAGTCTGGTCTTTTGGATCTTAAATGTACCTAAATGGATTTTTCAAAATATTATAGTTCATTAACAAGCAATTAAAAATAGTGACAAAAAAGGGGTTAATTTTACCTGTGGTGTCTATCTGTGGGGAAATTCGCAGGAACACTGGGCGGGCATAAGTAGGAAGTAATCGCTGAATCTTCTGCAAGAAACCGTCGCAGTCAAAGTTCCCTGTAGAATCAGCAATGGCAGCCATGCCTGCTTTACCTTCCACACCTAGAACAAAAATCATGGGGACAGCAGTGAGATAAAGGAGGAAAGCCCATACTATAGCTGCGATCTTACAGGAACGTTAGTTCACCTGGCACTGCTACGCCGTACACAGCCACGTCAGTTTGATTCAGAACACTGTTGAGTATGCCCTCCACCTCAGTGGTAGAAACGTTTTCCCCTCGCCATCGGAAGGTGTCCCCGCTGCGGTCACGAAAGTACATGTAGCCCAGCTCATCCATCACTAGCACATCCCCTGGGGTAATTAGAAAGCTAATTAGCTGAAACTCTCTCCCAAAAGCATACAGCATGTGTGTAGCTAAACAGTCACATCACACATGCTCTTCATCGATGTATTTGTTCGACGTTTCTGGTGTTATGACAAAACGAACAAATAAACCAAATCAACATTAAACTTTTTCAGTAACTGTAGCCTGTACGGATCAAACCAGAGATTTAGATGAAATAAAATTCTAACCTGACAAATATGCTGTATCATTTTTCCTGAAGACATTGTGAATGATCTTCTTCTTAGTAGCATCCTGGTTGGCATATCCATCAAAGCGCCGTAATGGGTCCTTCTGATTTATTCGTCCTACTAGAAGGCCTGGTTCCCCTGTAAGGCATTTAGGATTCCAACTCTGGGCTTTCATCACATAACATAGAAGATAAAGATTTTGAAGCCACGCCAGACACATTTATCTGAGCAATAAAGCAATTTGTTACCAGGGCAGCAAGGCACACAGAGGCCACGGCTGTCCCGAATGAGTTCCCTGGTGTCTTCGTTGACTTTCACCAGCCGGATGGGGTAAACGTAGGGTAGAATGCGGCTGTTAAATCCACAGGCTCCGACCTGCCAAAGGAAAGTCAGCTAAAGGGAATCCATATCATGTTTTAGGTGCAAAAGGAATTCATAATGAATGCAAACCTTTCCATCCATGTTGGCAATGCTGCAGTTGCATTCAGTAGCTCCATAAAACTCCCCGATCTGCCCCACCCCAAATCTCTCCGTGAAGGCTTCCCAAACGCTGGGGCGCAACCCATTCCCCACTGCCAGGCGGACTTTGTGGCCCTTTTCAGAAGGTCGGACCGGCTGTGACAGGAGGTACCGACAGATTTCCCCAATATACTGAACCACCTGTGAGAAGACATCATTTCAAAATCTCTTATTTTAATTCATGATTCAATTAACGGATATCGCTAAAACTTTAGCTCTTACAGTGCAGTTGAACTTGATGCAATCTTCCCAGAAGCGGCTGGCAGAGAATTTCCTTTTCACTACCACCGTGAGACCATGGATAAGACACTGACCAACTCCAATAATGTTACCTAAGAAGGATAAAGCCTTTAAGTAACAAAATTCAAGTTGGTCTAAAGCTGGAGTCAGATTTTAGTGGAGGTCAGCAACACATACCTGCTGAGTGATACAGGGGCAGGCAGTCATAGATGATATCTTCAGGATGCATTCGAAAGGCAAAGTACCCAAATGCAGCTATTCTGTAGTAGCTGTTGTTAAAAAAGAAAAGAAAAAAACATTTTACAGTGTTTTAAGTAACTGTACAGGAACAGTAGACTTAAAAAAAAAGGTTTCTGGTGAGTAGTTAGTCAGCAAAACATACCGACTGTGGACCACAATAGCAGCTTTGGGAAGTCCAGTGGTTCCAGAGGTGTAAATATAAAACAGGCGGTCTGCAGAAAATAATGCAACATTTTTACCATTTGAAATCAGCTACAATTTAGTTCATGCCATTTGTTTGTTTTTCAACATGGTAAAATGATCATAATTATCACCATTATCACTTTATATGTATTTTTAGACGGATGCCTAAAATTTAAATCACAATAGAGGAAATGTAAGATTGTTTTTATTACACTAATAGATATAAATGAGGTCTTTCTAATATAAATGTTTTGCTCTGTTCTTTTAGTCTTTATCACATATTCTGTTGCTCCTTTTTAATCCACAAAAGCAAAAAACAAAACAAAAAAACAAAAACAAAGAAAAAATACCTCTCTTGTGTATTTTGTGTTTTCAAAGTTAAATTCAGAATTTTAAGGCAGAGTTCTGTGCTATTTATTCAAATATATTCCCAACATATAACTTTTGGTCTGGACTGGCCGATTATAGGATTTAATAGTAAGCAGTTAATGCTGCGTCAAGGCCAGATGCAGAGGTAAAGATGAACACATTCAGATCACATGCTGCCATAGCTAGACAGGAACCCTTTACATGAGAAAGCTCTACATACAGATATGAATAGACTCAGGAAGTACTTTGAAGGTAGTACGGGAGCAGTGAGCATGTGAGCAGTTTCTTGACACAATGAGGATAATAATGTCGCTTGATCTCTCCAGAAAAACAAACAGACCATTGAAACTTGTTGCCGAGATATTTTCTCATGCTGATATTTATAGTAAAATGTAATAATATTTATTCTTTACACAAAAGTTCTGGTGGTTTAGGCTGAATTTGCAGCATCAGTGTATAACACAGCTATAAAGACAGCAGTGAAAATCTTATTTTATAAATATGCAGGGTGGATTACACCATAAACATTCTGTGCTCTACAAAAACTCAAATCTGTACTAAATTATCTAATCTTTCTTGACTTCGATCAAACTGGATATATCAAAGATGTGACCTGCTCTAAGGACGCCTATATTAAGATTTCTGACTAAATAATCAATAAAAAAGCACAAGAACTGAGAAATAATCTACTTTTAAGCTGCAAAAATCTAAAATAAACTATCCAAGATCAGATATAGGGGTTGATATTACAATCAAAGTGCAACATGATTAATTAATAATAAATAAATACTGCAACATCATAACTAAAAGATAATAATATCAACAATGCTTAAAAAACAGAAGCCGAGTGGACGATAATAAGGCTCAGAGCTCTGTCTTCTTTCACAGCAAATCGGTCCTTTCTATTAATATTTACTGGCCGACTACGTCAACTTCCTCCTTCTGAAGAAGGCACCCCCACCAAAAAACCTCACACTTCTGCAAAATGTTTTTTTTATATAAGGCTGAACTCCACATATATCAAAATAATGTTAACGTGTAGCACCTGCACTTCTCCAGCGTTCATATAAGTGAAATAAGGAACCTGTGGACATGTTGTTGCTTATGTAATCATATGTAAAATAACTTTGTGTTGCCATCTTTAAATACAGAAGCTTAAATAAACTAAGATAACTCCTTTAAGTGATTTAAGAAAATCAGGATCATGAATTAACAGCTGTGTGAGCTTCTGGTTAAAGACAAGTAAATTCACCTGGCATCACCTAAAAAATGCAATCCTTCTTTTAAAAGGGTAACTGTTGTGTTTAACAGGGAAATAATGAGAGAAAATATCTTTAATGTTTTATATAATGACTTTATTTATTCTATATAATCATTTTATATTTGTAATTTTACTACCCATAACTTAAGTGCTTACCCATTATGACAATATCTACTATTGGTGGAAATCTGGTAATGCTTGCAAGAGATCTCATACTAGCTATGAACTACCAGGGTATCAGTGTCATATTGTGGTTGTAATTCTTCAATTGCGACCAGTGAAATAACAAATCCATCAAGAGAAAAAAACATTTTGTTAAAATATTAAAGAAAGTTTTTAGATATCAGCTAGGAAGCTAAA